ATGAAAAAGCCACCGCAGTACCGCATCCCCAGCCGGCGCCTCTGTCACAGGTTAAACGAGGTCGCGTGCACGAGCGCCAAAGGGCGCTAACGTGTGCTCTGAACTCAGACTGAGACGGAAGGTACTTAATTGATGAAACAATAAATGACCAGCATTCTGATAGAAGCCTGAGCTCAAACTTCTTTATTGGTCCATCCAACTTCTCGCTGCAGCTTTTCCCCCCAAAAACTTCCAAGCAGAGCAGAACGCTCATATGTAGTGCACGTAACATGCGTCTGTTCATCCTCGGAGCGGGTGCGTTGAAATTTTGCGATGCCACTGGTACTTATGTGCGTCACGGTCTAGTATGTTTGTTTGAGAATGTATTTTAGTATTCATTACCGATGTGGTCGACTCGGAAAATACATACCTCTAGATCTATTGCAAGTATAAAAGGCGCCGATTCTCGTGGACCTCCACTTACAAGCAGGCTTGTTAGAAGAAACCTGCCGATTTGTCGATGGCCAAATATCGTCGAGCAGCAGCAGCAGCCTTGCTAGTCCCCTCGACGCCCCGTTCCCCGGGCTCCAAGCGTACGGTCACGCGACCATGATGATCACTTGATTTCCGCTTAGCTCCAAGCGTAATACTTAAGGGGACGGTTGTTCCTGCCCACAAAGATCGCCGCCATTCCTAATACCTCCAGTACTTTGAGTTTACGACACTCACTTAATACGAGTCCAAAATTGGAGCAAGGCGCGAGACATCATTTGTTGTAATTCTGAGTTTCATGGCCAACTCTTGGCCGACTCATTGAATTGCCTCTAACACTTAGGGTCAGCCTTCAAGTTTGGCAAAGCTGGAGGCCGTGTTTCGCTGCCATCTTCCATGAAAGACCACCATGAACCTTGCTCTCATTTCTCGTATCCTAAAGGCTAAATAGTAACTTTACACCGAAAACCCGCACCGATACCTTGCCCTATCTTCGGCGCATCCTGGCAAGTCTTCTATGCAGTGTTATTGATTGCAAAGATATGTTTCTGTGACTCGTGTAAATAATATTGAATAAATTGTATCATGGCTCCATGTAAATCCCGCTCTGAAACTACTTATAGTTATACTATTGCTATAGAAAAGTTCTCACCACTGGCGGGCTGCAAGCTGTCACAAATAACTTGCAAACCAGTTGCAAGCCTTGAGCTGCCTGTAATGGCATAGTAGTGGTTGCTATCCACCCCGCTGGATTGCAGCTGATTGCAGCTGACTTGCAAATAGCTGCAGGGCGCCAAGCCAGTGGAATCCGTTGCAAGCGATCCGGGGTTTTTCCGACACCCCCGCTTGAGCTACAAGCCCGCACCGCCCCTCGCGTTCGTGATCCCTCCTCCCGTGCCGCGCGCCCCCGAGTTCCGCTTCCTCGACCGTCGCAAGCGCGGCATCGTGACACGTCACCGCTTCGCTGCGGCCCTGCAGCGCGACACCCATCGCGAGACGGAACTGCACTTCCAGATGCAGTGGGGCGCGCGCCTTTATTGACAGCTTCGTGCTCTTTCTTACCAACCTTGCCGACACTTCCTCATTCGAGCAGCGGGCTGTTCGTTGCTTCCACGTTCATGTTGGTTACTCTCTCGCCGCTTGGACTTTATCTTTATATATCATTCGTATTTGGTTGCTTGGGACTTTCGTCTTGTTCTTCGGACACTTTTTTCATTCCGATTTCTTGGAGCATAACTTATTTGTATTTCTTTCCACGTATTGCTTGGTACTAGTACTTGAAATTGTTCTTTATACTTTACATCAAATTTGAAGTGCGCAAAATGTGATTTTCTTGTTCGCGCTGTCGGTTCTGTTGATGGCCGTAACTTCCATTGTAGCCTTCTTCGTCATTCTGTAGTGGGTCCTGGACACAAAGTTTTTGGTTTATGAGTTGGATCTCCAAGATCTGCCGGGGCTGCGCTCTTACATTATGTACTCGTAAATACATTATCTTGAATGCCATATTTTCCTTTTTGGCGTATCTCATCTGCTCTATGTTCAATTTTACAAATTGCACTATTACGCACTGCGCCGCAGCCCGCCGATAAACCGCTGTCTGCTCCATGTAGTATTTTCACGGTATGAAGCTCGTTCTTTCTATTTCTCCATGCGTATTATAGTATTTGTGTTTCATCTGTGCGTCGCTACTAAGTCTTCTAATTACAAGCTTTGATTGTGAACTCAACTAGTATGTACGAAATGAATCTGCCGCATCTTCTTATTTGTGTGCAAATGTCTGCTGTATGGAACTGGCCCTTAACATGTAGGTCAAGTAGATCACCTAGTTCTTGCATACTACATGTATAATCAATGTATAATGTTTTAAAAAGTTGGTTGTGCTTCCAAATCATGGAACACCTGACAAAGCGGACAGTGCAACTTGAACATTTCATGCAGCGCACGCACGTATTCCCGCGCTTCCCCACCGGAACCAGGGCGCATGGTGCATTTTGCCGGGAGGTCATGGAGGCCAGGAACAGCGAGGTTGTAGAGTCGACTGACACGGGAAGGCGGAATGCATGTTGCAATGTAACTGATGGAATGGCGGCACGGCCGAGAAAGACGCCGACACGGGCTGGTGCTTCCCGATACCGGTGACCGGGGAGTGTACTCCGCAGTTCTGGTCTAGATTCTGTTGGAAATCTCTGAAAAGGGAGCGAGCTCATCTCGACATCATCGACTTGCACGTCACGGTGTTCATCCGCCAGGAAAGACAACCCTGTCAGCGCAGAATCCGCACCCGCTCGCCCTCGCCGCCGCGCACGTGTTGAAAGGCAGTGACGAGGTGCGCCGCCTCCGGGTCTGTCAGAGCGCGATGCCGCATCGCCAGCTCGCGGAGGCCGGGAAACGAATGCACCAGCCAGATGGCGAGCGCTGCGACGTCCGCGCTGGCAGCCTCTGGAGACGGACGCTGGCTCCACGCGAAGGCCCGCCAGCCGGATGGGGCAGCCAAGCCCGCGCGGAGCGTGAGCTGCACCACGCGGGGGAGCGCCGCTCCCCGGAGCGGGATGGTATGCCACGGACGGTGGCCGCTGCGCGCGAAGAGCGCGCGAAGGTGCCGCGTAAGCTCAGACGCAGACGTCACGCGCCGCGCGGCGAAGTTCAGCGTGAGCGAGAGCGGCGCGGTTCCGGGGAGACCGCCGAGCGCGGCCAGCGTCCGGGAGAGGTCGTCGGCGCTGTCGGAGCAGTAAATGTGGATGCGCTCGAGGCGCGGAAGGAGCGGAATCAAGGCGACAACATACGCTGCCGGTGCCGTGATGGCGACGACACCGACGCAAGGAGAAAGGTGCGGCTGAGGGATGATCGACGAGAGCGAATGCGGTTCGAGGGTCAATTTCGCGACCTTGCAGTGCCGGTGCACGAAGCATATCACATCCGACAGCGACAGTCCACAGTCCGCCACAACGGCAACCTCGTCCAGATATTGCGTAAAGTCAAGCGTCGCGAGTAGCGTAGCATACTGTGCTCGCGAGATTGAGGGAATGCGGGCAATAACCAACCGCTGATCGAGGAAAGGGCCGAACGTCAGCAGCGCGATGTCACTGGTGCCAGGAATTGAAACTTGTTTGAGGCGCATCCAGTCCCTCCACAGGCCGAATGCCTGCATAATCTCCTCTGAAATGTGCCCAACAATACCTATTGAAATGCGGTGGCGTATCGACGCGACGCTGTTGCTGATGATCAGGATACCCACGAGGAGGTTGCCTATCCCAGCGATATAGTTCTGCATGCCTAGGAGTAAAGAGGGTGCAGCCGGCAAGAACGCCATGCGCAGCGCGCCGCCGACATTGAGGATGCCTATGCCGAGCAGTGCTAGGGAGAACAGAGAGATGCGCGACATCTCGGATACGCGCACAGTGCCCCGCTGAACAACCACGAATTTCTTTCCTGTCGAAAGACCCACAATGAGCTCCGCTACCCCGTTCGTGTTGGAGAACAAGACGCCGTCGTTATAGATCACAATGTCTGGGATGAGCGGCAGTGTGGCCAATATTCCGCCGAGCCTCCGCAGATCCAGCGTGGCCGCGGTGAAAAGGACGACGAGCCGTCTTATCTGCACCATGCTCGACACCAGGAGAATGGGCGCAAGTTGGGCGTGCGTCAGCTGGAGCTCGCCGCATTCGAGGTGCGCTTTGCGGATGGCGTAGCGCGCGAGCAGCGGATCGACAGAAACGCCGCGGAGCCGCGCACAGACGCGGGAAATAGTCCAAATGTCTCCCGTGTCGAGCATCGAAACAATTGTTCGCAGCAGTTCATTGGGAAGCCGGAGCATTTGTGTGTGGGCGGAAAGCAATGGCGCGCACGTGTCACCTGTCAGTGAGGCCAAACATGCACAAAGTCAACCGTGCAACTCTCACCGCGTCGCACTCTGTTCCCTCGGGCTCTTTATTTGAGAAAAAGTTAAGATATGGGGCCGAAAAAAAGTCAAAGCCTACCAACGGTGCGGGGTAATTCCTTTTAGAAGTAATGCCGACGTGCCGAGCGCTTGCCCAATGATCACGTGTATTGAAGATTTTTTAAAAAGAACGGAGCGGAATGTCCGCGCGTAAACCGTTCCTTGGTAATAATTAATAAGCTACATGAGGGGCAGCACTCTGGCACTGACTGATAGAAAATACGATTCCATCGCACGCAGTGCTGCGCCACTTTCATGGTCGCTAGGTCCAGACCGGGGCTGCCCCGTCATGCGTTGCGGCCGCACTCGTTCGCGACCGTAACTATAGGCCCTCACCAACTAAGCTATTCCGCCTAAGCGTATCATCTTTACGTCAGAAGTTTCATTGGCAGCGGCAGTCCTCCAGTCAATGCATAGTATAGAATAACATTACCGCTGCACTAATTTCTTGTTCGCGCATTCAGTTCTGTTGACGGTCGTAACATCCACTGTGGTCAGTCTTCGTCTTTCTGCCCTCGAATATTGGATTCGAGCAATGTATGAAACATGATTCTATATACATATATAAAAAAGTTAAGGTTTCCACTCGTGACGGGTGAGCTGGGAATCGAACCCAGACGTCGTCATATTCAATACTGAAGCTCTCACCACCACAGCTACTCAGCCGACAATGTAACACGAGTATATCATCCTTACCTCTGTTCAAGAGCAGTTGCCGCCATATACATCAACACCTCTTGTTCGGGCCTTCGGTCTTGCAGTTCTGTTGGTGGCTGCAATATCGCTGTGGTTCGCCTGCATCTTTCTGCCCCTGAATATTGCGGGCATTGTTTGACCTCTGTCCTGGTACTAGGTAACCCCACAGCTGCCGAGTCAGACGGTCGTACTCAGGCTGACTTATATGTACCAGCAAACTATAGACGCATCAATCAAGCTCTGCTTCGAAAACAAGCAAAAGTATGACCATTGGACCTGGACCATGTCAGAGTTATAGTGTCGTTCCAGATAGTTTTATTGTAAACAGAGACTTGCAAACATGCATATGGATTTACCTAAAGATAGGATCAGGCCATAAAAAGTGGCCAAACTAGCCAAAAAGGCGGGCAAGATCTGCTTGCAATAGGGCTGAACTGGGAATCGAACCCGGAATCTCAGCACAATACGGCCCATGCTCTAACTGAGCAATTCTGCCGACAGTTACATATAGTGATAGACTTAGATTCAACTCACACTTGGTCGGACAATGAACACCGGTACCGTGATCCCATAATTATTCTCATGGGCACCAATACGCTCAAACCAGGGCACAGTTTTACTTCAAAGAGACATCGATATCAACATAACGTGCTAAACATGATTCTGCAGCATTAGGGGTACAGGCCCGAGTAGAAATCGCTCAACTCGGACCCTGAGAAACAGGTACCGTCCATCATTTCTTCATACTCCGCTCGGCAACTTGAATCAGTGTCCTATTTTCTTATTCTTCGCTCTGATCCCTCTAATAAACGTCTGGTGACGAAACTAAGCTTCTTCAGCGCTATTTGTGTCAGGTTTTTCTTCTATTTCACTTGTTGATTATTTCCCGTATCCTCGCTCACGTCGTTCATGGGTGAAAAAAATATTTGTCGGCATACTGCACATGTACTGTAGGTCGATCGTGCGCCGGCGCCCACCGTTGTTGCCCTTGCCTCTCCCTGCTGCTTGTAAATATTTGCCCGTGGTCGAGTTAGCCCGCGCGGCAGATCCGGATTCCGGATTCCGGATGCCCGACTCGAACGTCCACACCCGCGGCACCGAGACCGCGCAAAGCTTCGACAGGACCTGATTCAAGCGATGCGCGCCCCGAGATTCGGGGGAATTTCGCCATCTTTACGGTACGGTAGTTTCTTTGCGTAATCAGGCGGCGGCCGTGCATAAGCAAACTCGTTCCCAAGATTGTTTCCGACTCGGCCATTATTCAAACAACATACGCAGCATCAACCCGGGTAGCAAAATCGCTTCCGACCGCGCTCGAAATGCTAAAGGTCGCGCCTGGCTATTAGCGGTCAGAGCCGTAGCAAAGCTTGGCCGCATCGCGCCGCTTGATCCCGTCCCTGTCGTGTTGAAATCTCCGAAAAAGACATCGTCTGTGTTCGGGTCCGTGGGCTGCCAGACCGACCAGAGTGCTTTATTCATCGGCACATTGATCACGGTGATCTTGAAAATGACCCTGGGATATCAAAAAAAGTTAAGATCCCAAACACATCACGAGCGGCTGAGATGGGAATCGAACCCAGACGTCGTCACATTCAATACTGAAGCTATCAGCTATCACCACCACAGCTACTCAGCCGACAACGTAACACCAGTATATCTTCCTTACCTCTGTTCAACAGCAGTACCGCCATATACTCCAATACCTCTTGTTCGGGCCTTCGGTCTTGCAGTTCTCAGGCTGTTGGTGGGCAATGGCTGCAATATTTAATATTGCTGTGCGTCATCTTTCTGCCCCTGAATACTATTGCGGGCATTGTCTCTGGTACTAGGTAAGCCCACAGCTGCAGAGTCGGACGGTCGTACTGACTTATACGTACCAGCAGACTGTAGAAAAAGTATGACCATTAGGCCTGGACCATGTCAAAATTCTACAGCCGATTTGGGAACAAATACTCGGGTTGCGTAAATCGTTAATGCTCAATTTGTATTGACCCATCTGAGGCTCTGTCATTTGCCATTGAGTCTCATTCCGCTCCACTCTCGATTCCACTGTCCATCAAAACATGCCAGATTGAGGCACTACAGTGAGGCTGAGTGGATTGGGGCCGAAGGGGACTCAACGTCAAACAGAGCTGGTCAGCACAAATTACTGTAAGCATCAACAATTTACGCAACCCAAATATTGTTTCCAAAGCGGCTAGTGTCGTTCCAGATAGTTTTATTGTAAACAGAGACTCGCAAGGATCAAGCTATAAAAAGCGGTGAACTAGACAAAAAAGTTGCTACAGCGATAATATGGCTGCACTGGGAATCGAACCCATTACAGCCCTTGCTCTAACTGAGCTATTCTGCCGACAGTGATAGTGATAGACATAGATTTAACTCAGACTTGAACACCGTGATCTCATAATTATTCTCGTGGGCACCAATATTTCAGCACAGTTTCAAGGCAAAGAGACATCAATATCAACATAACGTAAACATGATTCTGCAGCATTAGGGGTACAGGTCCGGGCAGAGATCGCTCAACTCGGACCCAGACCCTGAGAAATCCGTACCACCGTCGTCCATCATTTCTTCACACTCCGCTCGACAACTTAAATCAGTGGCCCATTCATTTTTAGGCGTCAGAAATGGCTGATTTTACTTAAATACCCCGGAGGTTCGAACACGTTTGAACGTGGAACCGAACCTGAACGCAGGTTCAGGTTCAACTTCAAGGCCTCGAGGTTCGACATTTTGCTAAACCGAATTTCTTCAGCGCTATTTGGGTCAGATTTTGAACATCCTATATGCTTTCGGCATTATATTGTACATCTATTTCACTTGTTGATTATTTTCGTGTCCTCGCTCAGGTCGTTCCCGGATGAGAGAATATTTGTCACATGTGCTGCTCGAGCTCAACGTCAGTCGTGCGCCGGTGCCCGCCGTTCCCCCTTGCCTCTCCCTGGTAAATATTTACCTGTGGTTGGCTAGAACATTGGCGATGGTCCGACGGCATAGACACTACGGCTGTTGACTCTATCGCGCACAAAGTGATGACGTGTAACGGTGGGATAATTACGGCTTGGCCGGGGCTATGTTGAGGCTCACTAGTGCGTGTCAGGTCGTGACAGTCTGCACCCGCAGCGCCGAGTTGGTGCCGAGACCGCGCAGAGCTTCCACAGGACCTGATTCAAGCGATGCGCGCCCCGAGATTCGGGGAATTTCGCCATCTTTACGGTACGGTACGGTAGTTTCTTTGCGTAATCAGGCCGTGCATAAGCAAACTCGTTCCCAAAATTGTTTCCGACTCGGACATTATTCAAACAACATACGCAGCATCAACCCAGGTAGCAAAATCGCTTCCGACCGCGCTCGAAATGCTAAAGGTCGCCGCCTGGCTAGCGGTCAGAGCCGTAGCAAAGCTTGGCCGCACCGCGCCGGTTGATCCCGTCCCTGTCGTGTTGAAATCCCCGTAAAAGACGTCGTCTGTGTTCGGGTCCGTGGGCTGCCAGACCGACCAGAGTGCTTTATTCATCGGCACATTGATCACGGTGTTCTTGAAAATGACCCTGGGGTGCCAGGCAGTTAATTTGCGAATACTTACTTGAGAAGACAGAAAGGGTCAACATACTTGGCAAAGTCTGCAGAATTTGTCCGTTCGGTACACGGAGGATATCTTTGAACTGAGTGTACGTACCTCCCCACGGCCGGCCCAGGAATATGTTCCCACTCGTTCCCGACGCCGCATCAGAGGCAAGCACAATGGTGTTCTGGTTGAACACATCTAAGGCGGATTCAAATGCGCCCGTACAGTAGTTGCACCAATTACGCACAGCTGAAGGTATCATTCGATATCCTGCCACTGGCGGTGATGCAGCCTGGACCACTGACGGCGATAGTGTTTTCGCCGAAATACGCTGAGCCCAAACGCCCAAATATGAAATCGGTCGCTCCCTGGCACCCGTCAACCAATCATTCGCCTGCGACCGAGGCGGTAGACACACCTCAATATAACCCTTCAAGTACACCTGCGTCCCCTGGTTGGCATACAGCGTGTCCTGGTACCCAAAGAACCCGCACGCGTACAGCCCGACGCGCGATCCATACTGGCTGATCGCGATCGCTTGCACGCCTTTCCCAACAGTATTCTTCACGTTCACGTTGTACATGTGGAAGTCGTTCTTGTGAATGCGCAGTGTTCCGCTTGCGTCGTCCGAGCCCGCCGTGGTCGCATTTCCAGCCGCCGCGATGATCACTTGGTTGCCTGTGTAGGTGGACGTGTCGGTCGTGTACCCATATATCTACAAGACAGTGAGCCCGCAGGGAGAATATACGGGCACTGAGAGGCATACGTACCGTAAGCGGTCCCGAACGGGTAATATCAATCTGCTCTGTGTACGTTCCCGGGAAGATGAAAACCGAGCGCGAGCTGCTGTCGTTTGGCAGGGAGTTCAACGCTGCGGTAATGGTCGCGAACTCTCCCGCAGTCGTTGTGCCCTTGCGCACAGTAATCGCTCCGGAGGGAGGTGTTTCCCTCGACGTAGCCAGCACATACCGAGCGGCAGACAAAAGCAGAATGGAAAGTAGCTTGACCATGGTGGCGGACGAGGAATTGTGATGCCAACTTGATGCCAACGCACTTCTTTATGCTCCGGGAAAAGGTGTCAAGGACAGAGGCTCACGTGGGGGATCAAGAGACGTCGGAGAAAGGCGCCGGACCGTGCTTGAATGATCGATGCAAACTTTTTCCGAAGTTACCACCATGTATATTGCAAAATCACGTGACCGATAAATAATCTGAACTTCCGTTGGAGCGAAGCCATTAATCGAGTGATGTGAAGCTTTACGTCCCGATGGTAACCGGAATCTTTCCCCTTAACACTTGTATGCACCACGGTTTCGGTCTGCTCGGTTCGAATCCATGCCTGCTTGTATGTCCTTCTACAATGTACTTACCCGTACAGACATCCCATCGCCCCCGCCGGTCACCATGGGGATCTCTGTACCTACCAATGTATTGAAACATTCGTTAAAACTTAATCAAGGTGTACATGAAACAGTTCAATTTCGGCGGGTACGACGCGGTAGCTTTTTTTGAGTCCGTTCTACGTCCGCAGCTCTTGGGCAGATGGGAATATCAAAGGGGTGCAAAATGATGCACGAAGCATTGCACGAAGAGGCTCCGCGGCCCGGAAATGGCCGCGTGCCCGGGCTTATATACTGCCGCCGCACAAGTACTGTTCATGTTTCGAGTACTGTCGAAACATTTTTGGTACTGGCAGTATAGTGTAACGATTATATAATTCTGACCCATTTGCATCGACTCCGTGCACTGAACGAAGTCCGGACAGATTCCACGGGCCCCAAATCTGAATTCTTAGAACCAATAAGATGTTTCTGCGAAGCTGCGTTTGATGTCTACGGGCCGCCATCTAGTCAGATCGCGGTCATTTGACGTGTCATTTCCAATCCAGCGTCTCAGCAGACCCGGAAAACGACCCCGCCGCCTTCTTCCCAAAATTCACGCAGACCACCACCCGGCAGCTGACAGCGTAGAAATAGTCGTCGCCCAATATGTGTTTGTCTGCATCATGCTGTCCCTTTTCGCGACGCCGCTCCCAATATTCCTTCTGTTTCCGGGGCTCTCAAGTGCGCAGACCACCACAAGCAATTTCCCCATCTTGGTGAACTCGACCTCGACGCTGACGCTAGCGGTCACACCTGCGTGCGGATCGCTTGAATCGACAAACTTCACCGAGCTGAACACCGGGATCAACCTCAATGCAATCAAGTGCGTACATAGTCTCCGCCTTGAAGTCTCAAATAACGTTCCCAAGGACGGTCGTGACATTCGGAGACTCCTGGACGTCGACGGGATGTGCGTGCAGCTTGCGCGCCTGCACAGTTCCAGCTAAATTCGGCGTATGTCATAGCGAACGGGACGGTGCCTCTCCCGCCAATACTGCATCCGCCGCTGCCCTCCGCCGGCGCGCGCAACTCGGAGAACCGCCGCGCCACAAACGGGTTCATGTGGAACGAGCGCCTGGCAGCGGACTTCAACGCGAAGCTGCTCGACGTACGTGCTTCTTGCGTTCAAGTGGTACTCGTACTTAAATTGTGGGCACTGCGAAGTATTCGTGGGGCGGTGCGGTCATCGATAACTTCGCGTACAACACGACGAGCCCGGCGAACAAGACGGGCGTGCCGCGCTCCGACTTTGTAGCTCAGGCGGGGCTGTTCTTCCTCCAGGGACAGTTCCTCGACGCGCTCGTGCCGAGTGCAACCTTGTACGCTGTGGCGTTCGGGATCAAGTAAGTGTTGGTGCGATGCACTAGACGTGATACTGAGGAGCCCCAGCGACGACGGGCAATTTAATATTGGCACGTCTGCCATCATCCGTCGCGTCAGCAGCTAACCAAATCTTTAAGCCGGAGGCGACATTGAAACCTCAATAAACACCTACGTAGCTGAATTCCCGGTCCCTCCTTGGCTCATCTTCTGACCGTCACTCTAGATAACAAAATTGGGCCAGCTGCAGGAACGCGGAGCCATCAATATCGTGATCCACGGGGTACGTACCCAGCACCCGAACCTTGCGTCTAGTTCTGACTGCGCCGGACAACACACACAGATGTACACTTCCCATCCAGA